GGGTTGGAAAAGGAGCTATGCATTGAAGGCAATAGCTTGGATGCAAAGCGCCATTGAGGGCGCGACTGGGCCATATCTGACAATGTCTCTAGCCATTGATGTGGCCCGTCTCGGGGTCCCCATCCAAGAAGACGGCAGTAACCAGCGCAGCTGAGTTTGCTAGTAATTGCTTTCATGTTTCGCTGCCAAGTCATTGTTTGCCCGCCTCTGGTTCTCTTCCACCCTTCACGTGGTTGTGCGAAAAGAACCCTTCGAGGAAGTCGGTCGACTGGCATACGCAACACGTGGCCAAGCCAGCGCAACCTATGCAGTGTGATCAGTTCATCTATCGAGGGTGAGTTATTCCTCCCGAATACCATTCGACGTACTTCAGGAATTGCTGATCCGGTGTTCCCACCAGATTCGGTCAATGCTCCGAAGACATCGATGGCCAAACACTGAAAGTCTTTTGACGTCCTCGGCGCGCAGCGTCCAGGTTTCTGATCCATATAGTAATACGGAGCAAACCAGCGTGCAGCTGACAAATCGCGTTCCGATACGGTGGCGGCGACGTTCAAAGTTGATTCTGCCTGGTTGGAAGGAGGTTATGACGAGTCCTATAAACAAAATCAAAGTTCGTTTTCATCTTGATACGGGCTCTGACATCACGCTACCAAGTGAACGAATGTGAAACCGACTAAATTTTGAGCCCAAAATGCTTTTGGCGGTAAGCTGAAATTGACTGCCGAGTTTGATTACCCATAAGCTTCAGGGCATGTCGGCACAAGCCATGTGCTACCTGACATCATGTCCCAAGCCTGATCTCATGGAGCCATATTGCATTGACAAGCCGAATCCACTGGAAAAGCTGCTTCATTCTATTTGCAACCTCACGTACAAAAGCTCACGAACCAACTTCCTTTCCAAAGCGCTTATTTGTGGACCTACAACCCTACGCATCTGTCTATATTCGCCGACGGGCTTCGAAGGTTACAAGAGTGAGAACTAGCCTGTACCACTGTAGGTGCTATTGTCTTTTTACTCGACCTCCCGATACCAAACCAGTTTTCAGGCCAACACACTCAGTACCTACGCATCTTTAGCCATCGTTGACCAGGAACTGGAGCGACTACAGAAGACTAGTGTCCTCTATATGGACCGCATCGATCGTATTGCTGATGAAGTCTTACGGACCACTCGCTTGTGCAGGCTTCCCTACCTACCTTCTGCACTGAGAACTCATCAGTACGCTTCACCTCTTCCAGACTACCTGTTCGCAAAATTGAATTTGGTGAAAATGTTTCACGAAGATTGATCTACACGTTGAAGTCGAGCTAGATACCCGAGAACTTTTGACCGTCAATATGCAGTTTCAGTATACCCGACTGCCGCCTGGTGTCAAGACAGCGCGTAGCATCTTTCGATAGATCATGGATACGATGCTGAAGGACATGTCTGGCGTTGGCGCTTATTTGGATGATCTCATCGTCATGGGTTGAAACCCCGATGAACTGTAGCAGCCGCTTGATTACGTACTTAGTCGCATTCGAGAGTATGGCCTCGGAGTGCACCGAGAAAAATGCGCCTTCATGCGATTCATAAACTACCTCGGTTTCATTATTGACTACCATGCCAGCCGACCAGAATCGGAGAGCATCGACGCTGTCAAACGTATGCCAGCACTAACGGACCTCAATACATTTTGTGCACCTTTGGTAGGTGTTTTGACAGGAACGCTAGTTTGGAATATTGGGACCTGAGCTGAAAAACACCCCTATTACAGTCAGTTCCACGGTTTGAGAGCTGACGAACTGAACTGAACTGAATACGGATATTAACACTATTAGCATCGTCTGATTACCGGTGGAAATAACTAGCGTTTAGACAGGGATGAAGCTAATAATTCTCCAGTCACGCAGTTTACCTCATGTACATTTTCTGTGTTTCCGTTCTGGATTCACGTTTTCTCAGAGTAAAGTTATTGTGACTTGTCAGATGCTTTTTCTTGTGGATAAAATAATTCCTATTCCGATAAGTACTATACCGCATACTAAACAGGAAAACCTAATTGTTCGGTGCTTGCAGTGCCCTTCCTCTGGGTACGGGTTGGTCCCCTCTTCACAAACTCAGTACACAGCGCACCCCGACTTGATGAAGTGGATAAAAAACTCCCTTAAAAATCTTTCGTGATGCGTCGTGATGACGCCCTGGCTTTCACAAGGCCAGCTTTTCGTCTTCGCCAGTTGTCCGTTCTTCCCCTAACTTTGTTCGTCCTCTTTATCATGGCTGTATTTGCTGTTTCTAGTTGCATCCACTTTTTAAACATTACCAACTTTTGTTCTTCCCAATGATCTGCATCTTCTCGGATTAACGATGGCCGCGTGCTTCAACGCTCGTTGGACAGAGTTACTTCCCATTCTCCCTGCCTGATGTTTTGCCCCCCCCCCCCCGCCAATTTTCTACTTTACGTTGGTTGTGGCCCCATACCTCAATCATCCAACGGCTCCTCTAGTGGTTTCTCCTTCGTGGACAATCTGAGTTTGGCCCTGTGTGTGACACCAGTTGCAACTCGAACCTCCCAAAAACCTGGTTTTGTTTTTCGTTCTTTCCCATTTTCTACTTCCTTTTACGAGTCCCAGATCTGCACTGCTGTGGAATGATACGGTCATATTAGGGGCGGTGCCCATTTGGCATATCTTTGACTCATAGACAGCGTTCATTGAAAAGTTGAATGTCTCTTAACTGGCTTCGTTGACGGATAGTTCGCAAGCCATTGCACAGCCGGCCTGTAACTTTCTCTTGTTATTTTACCTCTCTTCGGTACTTACCCCTTCCGTAGCCCTCCCACAGTCGTTCAACCAACCGATATACGATACTTAAGCTCCACTCTCTCATAATCGGGCGGAAGTATTTTCCTGGTTCCTTTTCCGGGACCTCTTCCGGAATTGTATCTGTTTTCTTTTCTTCCAACCATTATAAACTGTTTTTCAAACCTAAGATAAACGTTCAAATGCATTGACTCATTGTAGCTGTGTTTTGTTGACACGCTGCTTACTTCTATGTTTTGGAATTATCTTCATTTTTAACTGCTTTTGAGCTTTTGACGAGCTCAATGATTGCGGACCTTCCCTCTGCAGATCTTACTTGTCTGTCTGTTGCTGTCATAGGTGGCTGTCTCGCTCTGACGACTGCTTTTCTTCTTTTCAGCTCTGAGAGTTTTATCCCTAAGGATGGAGGTTGCTGACATCGGTCTTATTGGATTGGCTGTAATGGGCCAGAACCTGGTTTTAAACATGAATGATCATGGATTCACGGTAAACCTTTCAAGCCCACTCCCACATCATGTGTTGTTTTGCTGAAAGGTCGTAGTTTTCAATCGTACAGTATCCAAGGTCGACCAATTTCTTGCCAACGAGGCCAAAGGAACAAAAGTTATCGGTGCTAAATCGCTGGAGGACTTTGTGAGAGCTCTGAAAAAGCCAAGGATTGTCATGCTGTTGGTTAAAGCTGGGGCTGCGGTGGACGATTTCATCGCCAAGCTGGTAGGTTGTTTTGTTCTGTGTTCACCTCCCGTGACCATGCAAAATTAGGAAGCGAGGGACTTGTATCCATTGCTAACATCTTTCGTGATCATGACGCAGGCTATAGTCCTTTGTTTGTTTATGATAGCATATGAAATTCTTTAGAGTTGCCTTGTGTTGTTTTGAGGCAGTGGTGTTCATTGATATTCATGTTCTTGTGAGCCATATGGGAAGGGAATAACACTAAGCAGCTCGGGTAACTTCGCCCGACCGGTCCTGTAGATTCATGGGTCCTAAGTGGTTCGTCTCAATTTTTGTCATTGATTCCTCTGTACCCACTTGCATGGCGATGTCGTTTTGAAATTCGACGGCTATATCCCTCTTGCTTAGTCAGAATCCTTATCGCAAGATATCACTGCCGTATTATTTCGAACAGAATAGGTACATGATCATCCGATTCTGTATGGAGCAGTGGGTAGACGAATAAAGGTGAATTTGACACCTGAATATTTTCCACAGATCGCACCACAGCCCGTAATAGATGATAATCGTTCGGCTGTAATACTCTTTCGGTGCCTAGCTGCCGTGCCACCTGAAGGAAGTACGAGGACTAGGATACTACCAGGTTGTCCAAGTCCAGACAGGGGAAGTTAATAGGCAGAGGTCGGGTTTGAACAACGGACCTTCCGGTCAGTAGATTCGCGCTCTAACCACTGAGCCATCTTGCTCATGTCGCCACCACAGCCCGTGGAATGTTCTTAATTCCTTTGTTCGGACCAATCTACTTCTAAATCTACTATTCCTCTCTTCAGGAACCATTTGATCGCTTCACTTTGATTATTTTGTCAATGCTAGACCCGGACATTGAACCTGGCTACAATGTGCTATGACAGCCAAGAGTCTAGAACTCTCAGGATTTCTGCGCGTACAAGAGCCAGATGTGTGTCGTTGAATTTTCGCGCTGAGTTAAAGACAGACGGTCGCTTCATTTTGGCTCGGTTCGTTTGTCCTAGAAAGAAGGTCGTATGATAATGTTCCTTTCCGCACAAACTTTCCGCTTATCCTTGAAGTTTTATTCAGTTTGCCATCATTGTACGATCTTTCCAAAATGCACAAGAAAGCTTGGCATTATTGCCCCAACTGCTCCTCCGGTAAACACTAGAAGACTAGATGACATCAAGCGCCTATCTACATGTTATAAAATAGAATACTTCCAGGCCAAGTCCCGTTTTATTGACATAAAAAATCGTTCAGCTGTAGCACCATTTCGGTGCCTAGCTGCCATGCCACATGAAGGAGGCACGAGGGCTGGGATACTG